CGTTCTGTCTTTGTTATCAAACATGAAAAGCAGAATCACCAGTTCCTTTTATACTCATTGAGTGAAGGTAATTATTGGGGCTGAACATCACATTAACACAGACATACACTTCTGGGAGCCACTTTTGGGAGTGTGACAATATGTATTTTTCTGGGATACACAAAAAGTCAAGTTTTCTGTGACACCAAAGCAGARCTAATCGCCACTTGCATGAAGTGAGAGCYTTGGGAAAAAKAACARTTAATATAAGGCAGAGAAATAAYGTGGAGARTCAGTGAGTGCAGAGGGAAGGAGCGGGAACACACGCGAGCAAGAGGAGCATGCCTTTCAGATGAGATTAACTGCGAGCGCAGTAATTATAAAACTGTTTTTCCCAGCGGGSTGCCGCGGGTGAGGGGGGAAACTACAATTCCCGTGATGCCCCGGGGCGACGCAGGACGGCGCCAATCAGGAGRGGCAGGGCGGGGCGCGACCAATGGGGATGCGGGTAGGGTTTGAATTTGAGGCGGCGTCGCCGTTACGGCTTTGTGGTGCTGGGATCCTGTGCTGCCGGGCGCTGTGTGCGGTTCGTCYAGCCGGGAGGGGTTCGTGAGGGGCGTACGGGTCTGTGAGGCCGTGAGCGCTGAGGCGGCCTGAGGCAATGTGGGGTGAGAGGTGCTCGGGGCTGATGCTTGTGGAGTCCTTTGGGGACTGAAGCGGTCTCAGGGCCTGTGAGGTTGGCAGGTCTGAGGGTTGTTGGACCCGTGAGGAACTGAGGCGGCCTCAGGGGCTGTGAGGTGCGTGGTGCTGATGGTTGTGGGGTCCGTGAGGGGCGCGCACCTGTGGGATGGGGGAGCTGTGGTGTCTGTGAGGGGCTGTGGGCTGTGAGGGACGCTCGGGGGGTCTGTGATGTTCGTGAGGGGCTCAGAAGTGCGAGGGGGTGATGGTCGTGGTGTCCATGAGGGGCTGTGAGGCGGCCTTAGGGGCTGTGAGGTGCGCGGAGCTGATGGCTGTAGGGTCCATGAGAGGACCGGGGATCCGTGAGCCGTGTCGTGTGTAGGGCGGAGGGGMTGTGGGTGTCTGTGGAATCCACGTGGAGCTGTAAGTTGTGAGCTGCGCGGGGCTGAGGGCTGTGGGCTTCGGGAAGGGTGCGCGCCTGAGGGCTGTGTGGKGAGCGCGGCTGAGGGGCGCTCGGAGATCCATGAGGGACTGTGCTTTCTGAGTTGTGTAGGGCTCTGAGGGGCTGCAAGATGTGAGGTGTGTGGGGTTGAGGGGCTGTGAGGATCCATGAGGGGGCTGTGGGAGTCCCTGAAGGGCTTTGGCGACCCCTGAAGGGCTGTGGGCTGTGAGGTGTGTAGGGTTGAGGGGCTGTGCGGGCCTCTGCAATCCGTGAGGGGCCGTAGGGGGTGAGGCGTTTGGCGCTCGCGGCTGTGGCGCTCTGAGGGACCCCCGGCAGGGCCCCGGGGCTGCCCGGACAGCGCGGGGTTCCCGGTCCCGGCGTGGGCCGGTGCGTCCTGGGGAACCACCAGCTTCGCCTCCCCTCGGTGCAGCAGGGATTCATATACATTTATTTCCCATGGTGGGGAATTAAACTCCCAAGTCCCTCTAAAAGTTGGGCGTCTAAGCAGTGTGTTTTGGCTGCACAGAAAATTCGGAGTGAATGGGTGATGACAGCCGGCTCTGCCAGGTTTCAGGTGTCCATTTCTTGTGGGTGTTCATTTCTTGTTAACACAGGATTAAAGGAGAGGCAGTCGGGATTAAAGTAGAGAGTGTCATGTCCCAGGATTGCAGCCATGAGTGGGAGCTGTGCAAGGAGAATGTGCAGCCCCTCAGGCAGGGGCGGGTGATGTCCAGCTTGCAGGAGGCACTGGCTCAGCAGGACTCCTCCAGCCACACTGCTGTGCAGCTGAAAAAACAGTGAGTGAYGTTATAACTTCTCCTTTGTCCTTATCTTCATTCTTCTCATTTTATCTAGGTCTTCTTTAGCTGTACTAATCTCACAGGCATTAAAAAAGGCATAAAAGAAGTTTAGTAATTGATGTCTGTACTGCTGTCACACTCTAGGATTTTAGAAATACTCACTGCAAGTGCTGTGTACTACAGACTTCAACTTTTAGGTTTACAATGGAGCATTTAAACAGCAAATACTAGGGAGATTTGGCTGTGCTTTTCAATAAAATAATTAAGTCAGTTTGCAATGTACAAGATAGATATACAGTGATATGAATTTTATTTATTGGATGAATAATTGTATTTTTTAGGGAGTTTGAAGCAGAAATACGATTTTACTCTGGAGATGATCCTCTGGATGTGTGGGACCGGTAAGTTTCCCTTTATTTCAGAAAAGAGTTGAACAGTCATATATCCTTGTAAAAGCAAGGGAAACATATTCTAATTTAATAAGAAGCTCATTAAAAGCTAAATTATGTGACTGCTTTTTAATATTATATTGTRTTTTAATGTTATGCTTTTCTTTTTCTTGATATTTTCATATTGTATAGACACTTATTTAAAAACTGACTTGCTATGAACACGTTCTGTCACTAGGTATATCAAGTGGACAGAGCAGACCTTTCCTCAGGGTGGCAAGGATGGCAACCTCACAGTAGTTCTGGAAAGGGCAGTGAGAGCCCTCCATGGGCAGCAGCGATACTACAAAGATCCTCGCTATCTTAATCTCTGGCTCAAGTTTGTGAGTGTATTGGGACCATCTCTTGGATGCTGCTTTTCCCTGGGACTTGTCATGTTAGCACAACAGTTAAGCTGATTTTGGTGACAAGAGTCAGCGTTGCACAAGTGCAATATTAGATGTATTTTTCCAGAAGTATATTATTCTTGAATTCTGCTTCTCATGTCCAGACTATTTTTTAGGGTTCACTTTGTTCACTTTGGACAGCTACAAACTCCAGAAGTTTGTTTTTGAAAAGCTGGCTTGAATAAACCGAGCTCAAATATTTATTTTAGGAGAATGAGAAGTGATCTAAAGACACAGTATCTAAAACATATCTGTCCTACTAGTTATTTTAGCTTTTAGCTGTCTTCTGTCCMCATCCTTTTAAACTCTAAACCAAGTTGCACATATTCGGGTCCTGCCCTGTCGCTCCATTGCTGTAATTTTTGTTCTCCACATCTTTTCAAAGCAGCTTTTCCCCTGCTTCAGGTTACTGAGCTGATTTACCAGTTCCAAAACTGGCAAGGAATGTGCTATRCTTCATCTAAAGCTAAAATAACTGTTCTCAAGAATACTAATATGGTGTAATTCAATAATTGAACTACCTCAGGTTCAAATAAGAAATGATAAAATTCTATGTACTGGCCTTACATCTGCTCCTGTCAGACTTGTATTGAAATCAGCAGGGTCTTTGTGGAGGCATTGAAATGCAGATTTTGACTGGGARCCCTCTGCAGTGCCATGTGATTACTGATATACTTGGGTCATTTCAGGGCGATTGCTGCAAGGAGCCCTTGGATGTGTACAGTTACCTGCGCAGCCAGGAGATCGGCACCACGCTGGCCSTGCTCTACATCACCTGGGCAGAGGCGCTTGAGGCCAGGGGAAGCTTCAAGAAAGCAGATTTGATATTCCAGGAAGGGCTCCAGTGCAAGGCTGAGCCTTTGGACAAACTCCAGGCTCATCACAAGTAAGGGAAGAATTTAGGTGCATTCCTGGGTTCCTGGGGTAGGGAAGATTATGCTGACTTCTCCAATGTTTTCTTCTAGGCAGTTTCAGGCCCGTGTTTCTCGGCAGGCACTACTGGCACTTGAGGAAAGTCCTGATGGAGATAATACAGGTCTGCTGGAAATTGCAGAGCCTCAAAGAAGTTCGCTGGCAGATCTCAAAGGCAGAGGGAAGAAAACTGTGAGAGCCCCCATTAGTCGTGTGGGAGATGCAGTTAAAGGTACATTCCAGAGCTGAAACAACCTGTTATTGGAGGAGTTTCATCTCTTTGTTGTGGAATTTGCAATTGAATGTGACAGTTGAATGTTAATTGGCAATCTTTTTGCATATAGGCATGAACTCAAACAGAATCTGCCAGCCTCAGGCTTCTCTGCAGCTTCCAAATACTCCAAGTTTTGTTGTGTTTGATGAAAATTCTGTGTCTGGACCTGAGATTCCAACACTTACAGCACAGTCGTGGCCAGCACCTCCAGTTCCCAGGGCCAAGGAGAATGAACTCAGCGCAGGACCTTGGAACTCTGGCAGGGTAAGAGGCTCAAAATGAACTCAGGAAAGAGAGGAAGCTGTGTATAAGCTGATCCCTGAGACAGAGGTCATGTCTTTCTCCCTTGCCTGTGGTTTGTGTYTATTGTAAACACAGCTTTAATCATAGAGTTGTGGAAGTGTTTTGCTTGAGCGGGACCTTATAGATCATCCTGTTACACCTTCTGCTATCCCAGGTTGTTCCAAGCCCCATCCAACCTGGCCTTGGACACTGGCAGGGATGGGGCAGCCACAGCTTCTCTGGGCAACCTGTGCCAAGGCCTCAGCCCTGTCACAGGGAAGAATTCCTTTGCAATATCTCATCCAAACCCACTCTCCTTTGGCTTGAGGCCGTTCTGGCTTTTCCCGTCACTGTGTGCCCTTGTGAAGAGCACGAAGGAGTACTTAGACTCCTTCTAAAGAGTCCCTGGCCATGTGTATTCTGTTCAACTTTAGCGAGCTGATATTGCTAGAATAAGGTTTAAAAGCTCTCTGGAGTTTTAAAATCAAGAAGTGAGAATCCTTGCTAACCTGAAGAACTGGCAGAGGTGGCCTGCTAAACTGTTTGGAGGGCAGAAACTGAATATAAGAGGGCCAACATTAGCCAAGGAAAGGGGAGAGAAGCCAGGCATTAGTTAAWTCTGCAAGAAAGAAGAGTAAGAGTTAAATTGTACTGGAAAATACAGTGTGAAGGAGGAACTTGTTGCCTGCCTTGTTAAAATAAGGCATGTATGGCATTCTGCTAGTCTTGTTTTGAAGTGCTTGTGAGGAAAACAGAAGAACAGAGATCAAAAGAAGTCAACTACTGTATCAATGGAATATTTATCCTGAYAATATGCAGACAGAAAGTAGCTTCCAATGGCTTAAACTAAACACGAAAAGAAGGGACTGTGCTGCAGTTGTTTAAGCTGTTCTAGAGAAAAGATGCAAAACATTGTCTGAAGGGAATCAGTCCTGTGAAATGAGGTTTGTTTCACAGGCACTCAGATAACCCCCGGTGTTGCCATGTTCTTTGTAGCTCAGGAAAGAAKAGCAGAAAGTCACGGGATTGATGCTTGGAAATAGAACACAAACTTTTCCAGACCATGTTAGAATGATAATATGAATGCAAACCTTTACTGGAAATCCTTCAGGTAAACAATATGGCGAGAAGCAGTGCCCTGAGTTAGATGCTTGTAATTGGTAAGATTGGGCAATTAGAATATSTAGCTATTCCTGTGTATTTAGAGGAGCAGTTGGTTAGGTAATCTCCCCCCASGTTCTGCTCTCCAGCCCTACCGTTATTATGCCTGTGGTTATGTGGTGCAAAATAAAATGTCCTCGGAGAACTTACAGGCAAGAGAAGAAAATTTCTTCTTATKGAWTGYGTCAATAAGCGCCTGTTCAGTGWGGGAAAGAAAGCTGGGAAAGTGCTCGAAGTTATACTGASRAATTTARCAGTTTAYAAAGCTACAAATRCATGGAGAMTACATAAAAGCTAAAAACTTCAGGTGTCCRKATGATGAAAATATTTTCATCTTCTTAATATGGACRTTGTTATAAGTRAAGTTTAGTCAGAAAARCTAGAATGAAGGAGGGACACGTCTAGGCTAAAATTTAGGGSAACTCTGGGAATATTCTTTTCAGATAGAAAGCAATTTGGTTGAATGAATGGAAAAGTTCAGAGAACTACAGGTTTAAATGAGCTGAGAAGAATGAGGAAGAATTAGTAAGATAAAACTTCTTTTATCAGTTTCTTTGTGYTGCTTGACACATTCAGTGTGGTCTCTGAATGCTTCCATATTTCTTTTAAWATCTGCCCTTAGAGTTCTCTCTGTTCCGCCCTAATGAATTTCTTAAATTTAATTAAATAAAATATCCTGATTCTAGCAGAAGAGTTGAGGATGTTTAATTCCACTCCACTGAAGGGTGGTGCAAGAGTGACCTTTGGTGAATGCTTTGAGATATTAAAACCTGCACAGCGGGGGGAAGGGATTTCTTTTATTGCTGGTGTCATGATGCCTCTGTAAGCAGTTTGGGAAATGATGGAAAAGAGGAGTGAGTTTGTGAAGTGTTTCCACAATGTAACTCKTTTTGTGCTAAGGAGGCACRTGGAATTCAAATAGGCAGCTGAGAGTAATGTGGAGTTASACTGAATTCCACCTCCTCTCCAAAATAATGGACTTCAGAAGCTGTTATGAATTTGTTGCTGCTGAAATGGCCTCTGATGGGAAAATTTTAACATAAACCCAACCCAAGTCTGGAGGCTGTTGGTGGACAAGAGAATGAATAAGATCATCCAAGTGGGACCATCTTGGCTATACAATGGGGACTATGATTTATGGGAAATGAGGAGTAGCTGGAATATCCAGCCTGACCAGGGTAACATTCCCTTAATATGTGTATAACATTCTCTCAGAATAACAGAAACTGGGGTTTGGGAGGAGATGCTGGAGGAGCGTGCCTTGCTTTTTGTGTGCCAGTGTCCAGGTGGTGGGCTGTGATGGTGTCAGAGCAGAGTTCATCCTGGAAAAGCCTCTGTCCAGTTAATTTTCTATCTGACAAAACTCCAGATGAGCAGAAGTTGAGGAAAGAGAGATGCAGGGTGCAGAGGGATGTGAACACTAAAATGAATCCCTAAGCTGTTAACGTTGCCTTTACTTCCACAGCGTCCTCGCAGCATGGTGAATTCTGGCATGGAAGTGCCCCCGCCACTGCCCAGTTTCACCCCCTATGTGGATGAGTCAGCTCAGCCACAAATGATGTGAGTGGTGAGTTTGGTATGGGGGTTGTATTTGGAATTCTCAAAGCTGCTTCCTAAAATTCTGACTTGTTTTSCAAAGTRCTTAAGCYTCTCAAGCTACAAGAATTGAAAGGTCTGTCAGTCTGGAAGCAATTAGTGCTGCAGCTTGATGACAGGCTTCAGCAGAGGTTGCATAAGGACATGGGAAATGTTCAGTGCTGCTCATGATGGAGGAACCTATATCACATTTATATATGCTAATTGGTTTAATGGCTTAACTCAGTGTGTTTACACAAAACCACRAGTTACCTGTCTTAGGGTGCTGTTTRCTGTGAAACAGCCTCAAATGGAGGCAGAGTTGTGGCTGTTTTTTTGTATCTTGGGAACTCTGTGCTCAGCATATCTGGAGTTTTATTTTGAAATAAGCTATCAGAGTTGCCATGACAACAGTGTTGCTTAGGTCTTGGAGGAGTGAGTGTGCTGCTTGTACACTGCTCCCTGATTTGCGGATAAATCCCAGGAGCTGGGGTGGTTTTCTTAGAGCAGAGGAAAACACATTATTTTGCGAGGTTTCTCTACCTTTCTGTGGCYAGTGATGGCCAGGGAATAGACAGGCTCTTTCTGAAGGTGACATGGGAAAAACTGTTTGGTATTACAGATGGTTTCCACAGCTCTGAATTGTGTGGAATGAAGGAATGCTGAGAGTTGGTGAGCAGCATGGATTGTGTGTGGACTGCAGAATACCTCTGACCAAGGATATGCCATTGTTTATTAAAGAATGTGTAAAAAGCTGCATTTCTGTTTGACCTGTAAGACTGCTTCTTGCTCCTGAAAGGCAGTGATGCCACATCACTGAATCTTTTGGTGTGCTGGTGTGTCGAATGAAGATTTATTACTTATAGAAGGCAGCAGGTTTTTATACCAGGGAGAGGGAAGGAGTGAATAGAACTGAACATCAGGCAGAGTTAGCTCTAAAGCAGCTTAGGCATAGGCTTGGTATGTTGGTTTAGGTTATGTAGTTGGAACTTTAAAAGTAGATTTTCTTTTTTTCTGCCTTTGAAGCCATTTCCTCTTGATGCCATGGTCACCTGCCAGGTGGTCTGGAGGTGTTGTGCTGAAACTGTGTAAATGTGATGCAAATCATGCCATCAGCTGTCATCCAGAGTTCTGGGCAGAAGGACCCGGTTGTGATCTTAGTAATCTTAGAGTCCCCACACTCCCTCAGAAAGCTTTGAACTCCCAAACATTAGGAGCACCTGTTTGCCTCATGATCTCCTATAGAATGTGAGGGTTGGGAGTCCCCTGACATGCAAAACAAAACAGATGTCTTGGAGCTGTGCACAGGGTTTTCTTTTGCACTCCTTGCTTACCCAGACCACAGGTACCTCATTTTTTGCAGTCAGTTGTTCAGGGCATCCTTCACTGAGGCCCATGTGGGAATGAGTCCTGCTGACATCAGCTGGATTGCTGGTGTTGGTACAGCTGTACCAGTGTTGCTTCCTCTCCTGAGATGAGTCCGTAGGTTTCATCTGGCACAAGAGTTTCCATTTTAAGCGCCTTTTCTCCTGTGTGTCTTTTGTCCCAGATAATCATCCTACAAACCAGAGTTTAGGGATTTGTCACCCGTGTGGTCACACAGCTCAATGGAACTGAATTGAACAGATCCTGCTTCAGGCTGTGTGGCAGTTCAGCCATCATAAGAATTTTATTTGCTTTTGACTGGACCTTATTARCACTTTGGGCTGGACTTGTTTTTTGCAGTTTGTTTTATTTATTTATCACAGAACTCTCAGTAGTATGCTGCCTTTGATGTTAGTCATTCCAATTGTGCTTTTTTTGTAAGTTCAGAACAGAACATCTTTACTCCAGAACCAGATTCTGGCTTTGTCCCTGTTCTCTCCCGTGCGTGCTTTTCTGTGCTACAGTGACAGTACAAAAAGTCCCGGTGATAAATGAATGTCTTTTCAGGACTCCCTGCAAAATTGAGCCCAGCATAAACCATGTGTTAAGTACTCGCAAACATAAGGAGCAGGAGGACCCGCTCCAGCGAGTGCAGGATCAGCAGCAGGATGATCAGGAAAAGACAGAGATGGTGATGTACTGCAAAGAGAAGGTTTATGCTGGAGTTGACGAATTCTCTTTTGAAGAGATCCGAGCTGAAATCTACAGGAAGAAAGCAAGAAAGAAAGACGAAGGTGTGTTTCAAATGGGCAAGTAAGGCTTTTGAGATGGAATCACAAAATTGTGTTTGCTTCTGTTTGTTATTGCAGCTGTGTCTTTTTCTTCTGGGACAGCTGTTTAACTGCACTGAGGGATAGAGACAATACCATATTCAACAGCTTTTCATGGAAGCTGTTGAACAGGGAAAGACCAGCAGAACTTTTTGCCCTTTGACAAATAATTTAGGCTGTAACCACTAACTGTATGTGAAATATGCATTGGGCCTTACAAATTTTTTTCTCTTAGATGAAATCCAAGCCATAGAACGGGAGAAAGAAGAAATACAAAGAAAAATTGAGGAGCTGGAAAAGAAATTAAGGAAGAAAGAAGCTGACAAGCAGAAACAACATCATGAACAGGTATTGTCCTCATTTAACTGTTTTCCGTGTAGCTGCAATTTTAAATAAGAACACCCATGAAAGCCAAAAAGAAACCTCTTAGATATTCTTCTAATACTTTTTAAACCTCTTTTGAAAGGTGTCTTCGCTAATAAAGTATATTGTCTTTCTCTCCCTTCCTTCCTTCTCTGTTTCCAAAACAATGTCTTCATGGTAAATATTTTAAATAATGAAACACAGTGGTGACTTTGTTGTAAGCTACAAAGCTGCTTACATATGTCTTAAACAATTGAAGTTTTGTTTTACTAGCTAAAATCTCCTATGAAAGTTTATATATGGTCATAAAGAGTAAAAGATTAATTTTAACTGAATGTCCTATTCATGTTGGAAGGTGGTGGGGTAGAAGAAAGGGAAGAGAAATGTTCAGCTTTTAAATAAAGAAAAAATTGTTGTAAAATGTACAGGCTTCTCACAGTCACTTCTTTTTTTTTTTTCAGGATCAGCTGAATGGAAGTGAACGTTTGACTGAGGATGCAATTGTGACAGGCTCCTACAAAAACAGCAGCCTTTGTGCCAACCCAGAAGACACGTGTGACTTTAACAGGGCTGCCCATCTGGCCTCAACGCCCTTTCACGGGGTGGTAGCTCAGAGAGTCCCAGCTCCTGCTTTCTCACAGAGTGAACAGGAGGAAACCAGTCCAGARTTCAAGAGTGCACCTCTGRATCARGAGACACTGGTGTGTGAAGMAGCATACACTGAAGCTCTCCATGTAAAAAAACTGAGGTAATTACCAGTAAAGGACCTTCAGCCCCTTTTCCTGCATGTCTTTCACAGTTGTGGTTTTAGTGTTGCTAAGGGGAAGGAGTTTTCTGGAAAGACCAGAATATACTGGGGAGAACCCTTTCTTTAGCTCAGGGTCCACTTTGYCTTGAGCAGGTTTAAGAGGTAATAGCAAGCCCACTTGGCTTTTCAGCATTACAGGTGTGAAACTTAAGTATACGGCTTTTTAACAAAATTAACTTTGCAGAGAAGTTAATAAATGCATTCTGTCTTCATTATCAAACATGAAAAACAGAGTCATCTGTTCCTTTTATACTCACAGGCTTCTGCAGTTAATTTTAAGCATATAAAGTGCATCTTGTGTTTGTGGTTTACTTCTTTGACAGAGGAAAAAAGGTGGAAAGAAAAAACTAGCAAACAACTTGTTATCATTGTTATGAAAAAACATCTGTTGTATGGAAGTTTCTTAATCTTGAGCTGAGTTGGATTTGCTAGCTCTTAATATGTAAATATGTATACCATGCTGAAGGTGTTTTTTAAGTGGGGGGTACCTTGAAAAATGTGCTGATTATTATTTGGCAGAGTTATTTCCGATCCAACTCTTCACTGCTTTGAAAGCACTGAAATTTTGTAGCAAAGGGAGTGCTAAATATTCAGTAAGTCTGTTGCAGCAGTCAGATCTGGTGGAAGAGAAGATTAAAAAAATTATCTGTAGACTAAGATTCTGAGTATAATTAATCATCAAAACTGAAGTGGATTGCTGACATGACTTCTGGCTTTCTGCTAAGGATGGGAAAAATTTCTTCATGTTAATTAAATTTGGGCGTGCACAGTATCCTCTCCTAGCCCCCTAGTTTGGATTATTTACAATTTGTGTCTTTGGGAAGTCTCAGTAGTTGATGTCTTTATTTACAGCCCGATCATGGAAACAAGCCTGGAAGATACTCGCTCGTCAGGTTCTTCAGTCTCAGGAGGTTCTCTGTCCTCTGTTACACAAATGTCCACTAATAAATGCCTCCAGATCACTGAGAAACTGGAGCTGTCTCAGAGCTTGCTTACTGAAGTGGTTACTCATTCTCAAGGTGGAAATGTTACTGGTTAGTACTAACCTGGATTTCAGTCACAACAAATAACTTGCAACTGTCACTAAATGTGKTTTTTTTTCTGTCCTTCCTGCATCCCTCTGTGCTTTGTGTGCTTCCCATTACTGTGCCTTGTGACTGAACTTGTCTCCCTTGTCTGAAGCAGCAGTGTGGTACAGTACAAGATGCTTRTCAGCATCCAAATCATATCAGTGTTAAGGTGACAGAGAAGTTACTTAAGGTAGTAAAGCAGGCAATCTGTAYGAGTAATGAGGTCAAATTCCCAAACTAAAAATTTGGTCTGCATGGCAGTAATAACTTCTAAGACAGCTTTGGTTTGTTTTCCTTTTTTCTCTGTAATCATACTGTATGTCTCCTGATGTGCTGATAAGTTACTGCTTTGAAAACATTGAGTACAAGTTTGGAGTCTAGTGCAAGTTGCATAATTTTGGTTTAATTCTGCACTTTTAACTATGCTGTAAACTGYTGTGCTGCTTCACTGTGTCCTTCTTATTCCTATTGAGGGAAAACAGTGGTCCTTAAATAATCAATTTCTTTGTTTATTTTTCTTTTAGTTAAAGGCCCTTGTTTCTCTCTTTTCTAAATATTTAGATTAGAGTTGGAACAGAAATGGTCACAAATAGCCTTCAAAATTTGGCCTGTGGAATTAGATGTGTGTTGAATGATGTTTTTCAAGATGTTTAACCTGCTTTCACTCCTTTGATTTTGGTTTACGGTGCTTTATTAGAATTGCATATTTGAAAATTTGCAGTGTATCTACTCTGGAGAATTATGTTCTCATGTGCCTGCAGATTATTTTAYGGTGAAGCATACTTGGGACCTGGAATGAAAGTATAATTAGAAGTGACGTCAGTGAAATAGGTGGAATGTTTTGGATGGATCTTTGACTTGTGTTTATTATATGTACTGATCTTTAGAGCAAGGTAAAAATGTCTTCAGAAAAAAAAGAAAGCATTTGTTCAGATTTTTTAATGGTCCTTTCTTAAATTTGGATCTTTCCTGTTGCTTTGTTTCTTGATTTCTGCACATCTGCCTTGAACTGCAGGTCTCACCCTGGATGTAGTAATTCTTAATACTGTGCAAAGAAGAAAAATTACTTTAGATGTCTGTCAGTTTATTCCTGCAAAATATGCAAGTAAATTTCATAGGTTTGTGATGGGAAAAGCTTGGAGTATGTTGTAGCCTCCAGCCTACACTGTTTCCTGCAACTGCTTTCAAAAATTGCTTCCTGAGCAGTACTTACTGCAGTGCTTTTCAAATAAGTGTGGGTATAACAGCAGACAGTCTTCTTCTTACCTGTGTATGGTSAAAGTTTAAAATGTTCTTCCTCATTACAGCCATGGCATTTGGGAGAAGGCAGTAGAGGCCATCTAGTTATTGTGTTTTATCTCAAATGATCAGGCAGAGTAAACACTTGAGGTTTTTTACCGATCTATTGAATGACCTTATGTTCTGTTATGAAGGGAAGTAAGTCCTACAGGGAATTATCTTAGGTGTCTTCCAGGAGAGAAATGCCATTAAATTCTTAATATTGCAGTGAGCAGCAGAGTTGGAGTCCAACTTTGTTTTCCTATTCTTATATAAGACCTTTGTAATTAATGGACTAAATTTCCCTAAACTCCGTAATTTTAAAATCCCAAACTGATCACTTGATCTGGGCATAGATTTTAAAAAGGAGTGGTGCTTTGTAGAAAGAGTTTGAATTCTGCTGTGGCTGAAATAATTCAGAGCTTTGTCTCTTGTCAAAGGTAGATTTTGCATGATGCTACAGTAGAACCCTTGAGACCTCATGATAAGAGTCTGTGAGAAGGGTTTAAAGACAGGGGTCACATTGACTTCCCAGAACTAYTGGAAGGAGATGAATTGACTCACTAAGAGATGAACAATAAATCAGAATGTGGATTGAAAGCTTCTAYTATCCAGGTTGCTTTTACTGGCAGATATAACCAAGTTGCGGAGAGTTAACACTATTTCAGCTCATCTCCTCATGTTGTTTGTCTTCTTAGGGGATGATGTGGCTCCCTTCCTGTCTAGTGCTGAACAGCGTAAAAACCTTTCCAGTTCTGTGCTAGCATCACTGATTGCTTCTCCAGATACTCACTCAGARACTGGAACTCTGCCTCACCTGGAGGTTGGGAAAGACGTTGAGCTGGGTAGGTGTGCCAAACCCTCTGCAGTGCAGAGTTTGTGTTCTAATGGGTTTGAATTTGGTTCATATTCACCCTCTTAGTTTTATGTGGTGCAGGTGGGGAATCACTTTGAGAATAGCTATTAACTGTGACAGCTTATGAATGTAAACTTTCATTACAGGAAATGAGACTTACTGCATCAAAATGGAATATTGTAGCAATGAAGAATACAAGATGTTTTTTGCCATTCCAGCTGAATGCACTCTCCTGTGGGATGCAAAGGGATTTGCAGTAAAGGTAACACATGTGATAGTTATTGTACAAGAAGTGTGAAATGGTAAAATCTCATCCATTAATATAAACCCTTAATTTCTGAATTCTATGTATGAAGTTTGCTACTTCAAGTCCTCTTTCTAATTTTGGATCTAGATTAAAAGTTTCTGACTGCAGAAAATGTCTTCCTTGGTCAAGTGGGAGGGGAAAAAAAAAAGAGGATGAGAAGAATATGAAGATGAGTAATTTTTACTTTATTCCAAAAATAAATGTTCTTCTTATGTACCTTCTTGTAGGTTTATTCTCAGCCTGTACCTTGGGATTTTTATTTCACCCGTGAGTTACAGAAGCGTTTGAATTCTGACTTTGACCAGAGCTTCAGTGAGAATTGCAGCTGTTACCTGTACCAGGATGGCTGTGCCATTGTACACAGTGATATAAACTGCTTCACACTCAGGGTCAGTACAGATAAGCCAAGGAYAATTGGAGAGTCCAAACTGTTGCTTGGGTGCCAGTAGTGAGTTTGGGGTGGTGTTATGCTCGTTGCTGAAGAGCCACTCCTGGAACACAGATCACTGGTATTTATCTGTGTACAAATCAGGGCTGTCTATTAATGCCTCAGTTGGGTCTGGTTTCTCATTCATAGATGACATGCTTCTCAGAGACAATCTTGAACCAATTTTTCACATTTTCTGTCTTTGTGAGTCATAGAGGACTGGAGCCAAGAACCACATGTTACTCCACAGCAAGATTTGCATCTTGCAAAGCTGTTGTTTAATTTGACTTCTTTCAATACATTCCAGTCAGCTGTAGCAAGGTCGTAGCATTTAATGTCTTGCTGAATGGTTCACACTTTAAGTCTTGTAAGTACATTTTGAATTGTTGCATAACAAACAGGACTGAAATTCAATAGTGATTTCAGTCTTCAGTTCAATTACCCCTTATTGATCTTTTGTCCAATTTTGAATAATTTTTCCTAATAGCTTACAGTTATTGTAATTCTGTCTGGGTTGATCATATGCAAAATCTCATTATACTGAATTTAGGGTGGGACTGTTACCTCTGTGCAGATAAATAATGAAACGAAAGGTGAGCCATGAATATTTCCTCTAATCTAAGGTAGAAGGATACAGAGATAGGTGTTTATTCTCTTTTCAGGATATTCTCTGTGAGCGTAAGTTCATCACAAAGGAGCTCATCTTCGTGATTGTTCATGATCTTCTGCATGTGGTGGAGAAGCTGCACAAAGCAGAGATTGTCCATGGATATCTGAGGCCAGAGGTGTTGCTTCTGGGAGACAGGTTTGTCTCTTCCTATGAATATGGGAGGGTACAGAATAATTGTTTCAGCTACAGCTCCTGTGCTGCTGTAATTTCTCCTCTTGAGCTGGGATACTGAAGTACTGAGGCCTGAACAATAGGCCCTGAGCCAAAGTGGATGTGTAGATAAACCTTCCAACCAATGTTGTATTTGTATCCTCTCATTAATGCAATAACATTAGCAATATGATCTATGTATCCACTCATTGTCAAAACATGTATTCACCTTTCTGTATTTAGAAACTAGACAAAGCCACACCTGGGGTTTGGGGGTGTATGAGCAAAGGCAATTCCCTGGTTTCCTCCTTAAGCCCTGGCTGGGCTTTGAGAAGAAGCCAGGAGGAGGCTGAACCCAGATGTTCCTGCACTGGAAGTTGTGTGAGCTTGTTTRTTGCACCTTCTCCAAGCTGGGCCCTGTCCCAGTGCAGTCGGAAGCCTTTTTGCCTGTGGATGGACATGCACATAGAAATTCCCAGATCTGTTTCTGCTTTACCAAGGTTCCAGACTGCTAACTGGATATGGTTCATAACTTGGCTTTATACCAGAACCCTATCTGAAATGCAGGAAATTAGAAAACAGAAGACAGGTGGAACTGGAATGTCCAGATACGCTTAAAGTGTTCAGCTTTCTCTACAGTCCTGCTTGTACCTTGATGCATACACCTATTTTCTTCAAGTTCTCTCCCATATTATGTTAACAAAGTCACGTATCCCTTGGAATGTGATCTACGAACTAAATGTGGTGATGCCTGGAAATAGAACACAAACTTTTCCAGACCATGTTAAAATGACAATATAAAAGCAAACCTTTACTTGAAAGCTTTCAGGTATGCAATATGGCRGAAAACAGCACTCAGAATTAGATCCTTACAATTGATAAATTTGGGCAGTTAGACTAACTAGCCAATAATGTCTAAGTAGAGGAGCAGTTGGCTAGGTAATCTCCCGCCCTGGCTTCTGCCCTCCTTCCCTACCTGTATTATGCCCTTGGTTATATGATGCAAAATAAAATGTACTTGGAGAACTTACAGGCAAGACATAACAAAATTTCAGGAATGCGTCAATAGGCGGCTGTTCAGTGTGGGAAAGAAAGCTGGGAAAGTGCTAGAAGTTATWCCAAGGCATTTAACAGTCTACAAAGCTACAAATACATGGAGAATACATAAAAGCTAAAAATTTCAGGCATCAGTGSGAAGCCAGTAACCAGAATGTCTAATGAATCAGATATAATTCCATTACATAAATTCACTGGGGCTGTTCTTAATTATCGCTGATAAGTTAAAAAAGCCATTAAATTTACTTTCAGCCTACAGTCATCTAACATGATGAGATGTTATTTATTTTATAATATATTATAATTTAATATTAAATATTAAATATTTAATATATTAATATATATCCCCATATATTTTATGTATAATTTCTTTGTGATTATTTTATTAATAACTTATTTATATAATTATTTATAAATTCCATACCTGTACTATGCAAGTTCTAGTATCTTATTTACATCCTGCAGTGGGTTGTCCTGCACATCCTTTAGGGTGCTGCATCCTATTTTGGAAGTCACTRATAGTAGCTTGATGGACTTGGGTATCTCCTGCTGGATTTCTCTGTGGCTAATACAAAACAACTGCCAAAAAGTTAGGATAATGGTTGAGGTTTTTTTAGMTGGCAAAAGGACAAGTGCATAGTATAAATTACAAACTAAGCTCACAGCATACAAGTATGCAAGAAGAGTAGTAGTGAGAGCTGTGATACATTGGCTTGCAGTTGTTGATAGAGATATTCCTCCCTGCCTGTCCTCCCTCACCTGTACACTAGGAAAGGTTTGTTAAAGTACTATCAAAATTAATTATTTTTTGTATCAAGCATTGTGAGGTTTAGAAGGTGAGGGAGACATACAAAACATTTCACTATTTTCACTGTCCACAAGCTGTGTTTCAGATAACTGTGACATACGAAAATAGCATCATCCTGAACCCTTTAGTGTTCCCTGTTGCTTACTGTGGAGAAGCAGTATCATGCCTAAGCTCCCTGCTGTGAGCCCTTGCTATCCAGGGCAGCCCTTGCAGCAGTAGTTCTGACAGCAGCCATCAGAGGGGAGCATTGACATGGCTAAGACTCAGCTTTCCTGTGGTGTTAGATTAAATTAAAAAAAAAGAAAAAGTTCGTTGGATCATCTTCTGCCTCATGTACTTCCTCTGCTCAGGATCTGTGATGCATTTTCTAACAAGGAGGTGTCAAATGCTCTGAAGATGGTGGATTTCTCTCACAGTCTGGATTTGAGGGCACTGCCTCAAGTCAGCTTGCCCTACAGSTTTCCCACAGCTGACACCCCTCATGGACAGCAGCTTCTGGCAGAAGGCTTTTTTCCTTATCAGGTGAGTCTCTGTTTAGCAGGACATCTTAATTTCCTTGTTTCCTTTACAAAACCTATTTTCTTAAGTCAAAATTTACAAGTGCTATGGAAAGATCTTGATCTCCATTAATATTGAATAAAGAGAATTTTACACTGATGGAATCTTTGGCTTTAAGTGAAGGGATTGGCAGTGCTGTTSAGTGATTGTAACTACTGTATTCACTTACGAACCTACAATGAAACCAGAATTTTGCCTTTTGAAGTTTTCTTCCGTAACAGGTCTCTGGAAGATTCTGGGGCAAAGATGGYTCAGACTTAAATGTGTGAAAACACTAAGAGCAGAAAGTGATAGACAYTGAACTTTGTGATGTTTGTTGTGATTACAGGTAGACTTGGTTGGCATTGCAGATGTAGTSCATTTGATGTTGTTCGGGGATCATATCCAGGTCTATCAGGAGAATTCCATCTGGAAAATCAGACAAAACTTACCAAAGTAAGTCCTTTTACAAAGGGGGCTGCTGGGAAAGAAGACACATCTAACCTCATTTTCTTTATAGTGGGACTGTCTTCAGAGCTTAAAACGTACAACTTGGGGCTGTTTTTGCCAAAAATTGTTAGTTTTGTGGGAACTGAAATTGTGAAGTTGTTGGACTTGTTCACTGGTAGCCTCAGTGCTGTGTAGGAGACAATTTTAAGCTGAGTATGAATAGTCCAGTTAAGATGATTTTGCTTTTTCCATYCTTTCAGATGAGACTGACTTAGTCTCTCTCTGCATCTTACAGATCAAGCTTGGAGAAGTTTGTAAGTGAGTGAGGTGGCGAGGGGGCAAAGATTACATGAGCATGTTTTTTCAGGAATGGATTACTTTGGCTTTCTGCTTTTTTTTTTCTTTCATTCTAAGACACTGATGGCAGGGTGTAACAGTTGTAGAAACAGTACATGTGCATAACAAAGAAAAYAATTTTAAATTGTCATCTAAGATGCAAGTGTGAAAACTGCTGCTTTTAGGAAGCTGCTGTTTGTCCTGAGATATTAAATTCTACTGCTCTATTTTAGCTGCATGGTTTTGGCTGTAAGTCTGCCTTGCCTTCCTGTGCCCTTTGTTCTTAGACTGCACACTTGCCTATTTTACTGGGCACATGCTCCAGATTTTTTTGCCTTGGCATTTCATAAGGATTTTCCAGAACTCTCCATCATGATAGCAATTACTRAATAGGTATCTGATTCAGGATCATGGATCACTCCTAGAGCCACTGGTTTAAGAAAACCTATTACCAATATGAGAGCTGTCCAGTTCCCTAGCAACATGCATTGCTTACATGTCCCAGTTTGTACTCAGCCTTTGGAAAAAAATCCTGTATTCTTAAGCTGTTTCCTTTTTCCTTTACTGGGTATATATCTGGTTTTCTACTAYGATATCCTTTCTTTAATTCTGCAARAGATTAAATTGAGCTACTGCAGATAAAGCCAYATAAGGTCTGAGTTGAGAAGGATGGGACATGGTGTCAGGAACCTGATCAGGATGTGGGTACAGGAAAAAGAGCAAAAGTGTCTGGATAACTTGAGCAGGAGGAATAGTAAGTCTAAGTTGGGAAGGATAAGGCTGGCTGTCAGTGGAGTTTAGAGGRGAAGGGTTAATTGGAAAGGAATTGYAGTYAAAGCTGGGGATGCTGGATTGAAAAAATTTGGATTTTGGGTTGAGGTAGAACTTGGAGGGAGACTTGAGGAGTGAGACCTGTGAAGGGCTAAAGGAGCAGGAAGAAGTTAAAGCCTGGGCATTAGTCCTGTGGAGCTGGAACCAGGCGGTAATGGCTTCTCACTTGCCTGTGTGCATCAGTTTGTGATTTGGAGGACACAATACAAATAAGGGATTTCTATTTGCCACCCTCTCTTCTGTTTTACTTCTGAAAATGTTAGACATATCTTTCATCATCTATACTTATTTTTCAATATCAGTTATTCCAGGAAATGTCTGCATAGGTGCTTTAGTTACACATTGTACTGAAGTCTTATATCAACAGTGCAAATGAGGCATTTCATTATGTGGGAATAAGGAATTTGCGCTGAATCCTTTTCCATTCACACATGGATCCTTTAGTGTGTGTGGTTCTTGCTGATTGATGACACTTGCTCTAGTCAGTTTGAAGCTTTCAAGTAATCTGTGACAAGCAAATTAACTGTTTCAGGGAACCTTCATCCACCAGCAGAGGCTCCACAATTGAGCACTTCCTGGGAGAAGAGTCAGCTGATTGAGATCAATCTTGCTCTTCATCTTTTGCATACAGCCATGTGTGCTGATGACATTTGTAATACCAATGAAGACATAGGATTCTTCTTCCTGTTGCTTTCAGTAATTCTACTTTTGTAAAGATAACATTGCTTCAGTCCTTTCTCTTCAAAGTTCTCTAAGTTATTTGGAAAGTGATTATTTTATTTTCTTGGGGTTCATTTGAATTTGTTTTGATTTTTTTTCAAGGATTGTATAGACAGGATAACTTTCCTCAAAAAACGTTCTGAGACTTCAGGTATTGGCGACTAGAAAGAAGGCTTCTTACTAGGAGGCTGACTGGTGTTAAATACAACAACCATGACCCTCTTATCTTAAGAAAGCTTTTTAAAAAAAGGACTTAATTATTTTTAAGTATTAAACAAGTGTAAAGAAAGCAGAATGACTGGAAGAGCTGCTGATTTTACTGCAGTTCAACAACATACCAAAGCAGTGGGAAATTGCAGGGTAGAATACAAAATTTTTYTTCCAGGGTCAATGGTTCCCAATAGAAGAGAACCCAGGTTTATGTGAGGCAGGATATGGAAGCTGTGTTTGAATTATTAGGACTATTTTTGTCATTCAGAACTCCTTACAGCTCCTTMGCAATACTTTATCTTCTCTGCTACATTTCTTGCTCATCTAATCCCACCAAGAAAATTGACTCAAGTCTTACATATTTTTTTTCTTGGTTAGGTTCTGCATTGCCTTCATTATTTTAGCTAACATAAGAGTTACCAGTGTAATAGTACAGGCTGGATTCATTCTGAGATGAGCTGCTGCTGTTTTGTGAGTCACTTAGATAAAGCAGAGGCAGATAATTTGTTTCAAAGCCACTGTAACTCCTGGCTCGAGGRAGAAAAGTGCTTCAGTAGTCAGTAGCGGTGCAAGACAGAAGAACAAAGGGTTAGCTCTAATATCAGTTTTCTGAGACTTAAATGAGTCACTTAACCTTTTTATTCATGTTGTGTGGGTACATCTGGGAGAGAGAGGGGATATTRCTATTAATTGTCTCCAAAATTTTATCTGTGTAGAACTCTGGAAGATGGAAGGCAGGGAAAAAAGGAAATAAAACTGGCTCTAAATCGCCTTTTTCTATTTTTATTTTTCTTGCAKCTTTCTTTTAATATTGCCCTCTGAACTTAGCTTGCAAGTGGAKAAATAAGATTTACCTCTGCCCTTTRTTCATGAAAAGAGTTTCCCAAGTTTTCTGGTTCAAAAATTTTCTTGATAACTCCTTTAAACTACAACTGCCATGGCTTAGTGTGAATGGTGGTAGTGGTCAGGTATACTAGAAAAGGGAGCTATATTAACAGTTGGTTTAGACCTGTGTAGTTACTATCCAGAAACTCATTGAAGAAAGAGGAAGGGGTCATACAAATAATATGAACAATACATTCCTAGTTTTCCTTTATATTTACTCATGGGGGTGAAATTACTACATCAGGTGTTGTTCTCCCAGGATGTTTAGTGCTGAATATAAATAGAGACCTTGATGGACGTGGTGGGGGATGTGTGTATGTGCATACTGTTCCATTGAACATTGCTCTGTTTGTTTTAGGACCCCTGGCAGTGATTTCTGGAGTAAACTTTTTGAGAAGATTCTGAATGCAGATGGTAAGTCCACAGTACCTCTGCTGAAGGAGTTGAGAGAGGAAATCAGTGAAATGTTTGACAGCTCTTTCCAAGAAAGACTTTTGTTGACCTTAGCTGCTGTGGGAGAAACATTCCTCGTGGTGAACTTCCAGTGACTTCATAGAAGACAAACATGTTCGGTATTATAGAGAAGAATTTGTTGTTGGGTTTTTATGTTTTCAAATGTGAGAGTGATTGGACCCATTTCTGCAATACTTCATATGGGACTTGCTCAAGAATGTTCCTATTGCAATACTGCATAGAAAACCTTCTAAGCCTCTCCAGGAACCTTTTTGTGTCTGAGCAGTTCATGAGAGAAAATCGTTCTTAACTGCTGCCTCCCCTTCTTAAGGCTCCTTAAAAATTTACCACCTAACTCGCACCGCACACTTTGAAATGTCTTTGTCTGCATTCAGTTGGTCTTTTAATTAATTCAATAAAGTTGTATTTTGGTAACAAGTGTCATATTAAACATTGCTGTCAGATGGTTTCAAAACACTTTATTTAGAATCCATGCAGAAGTGCTGCTGCATGACTGGGAATATTTATTCATGGCTGCAAACGCATCCTCATTTGGTGGCAGCTTTCATAACCATATGGGATTTCCTGGATATCTGAATACAACTTGAATGATTCTGCTTAGAATGTGCTCTCATAGAAAGTTGTCATAAGAAGTAGGTGAAGTCATGAGTGGAAAAGCTGTACACATAAACCTTTTTGCTTCTTAAGGCAAGAGTTTTGTTTACTTTTGCAAGAGCTGGAGCTCCTGACTGGATTTTAGTATCCCTGAATTCTCAATTTGCCCTAAGTGAAGTGTTGGCAGGCTTTTGCGGGAGGTTTTATGGATAGCTATATGTGCTAACCTTTTATATACTGCATTATTGAAACCAGTTCAAAGAYTTGATTTTATTCAAGACAAGAGAATTTACAGGACCCAAACCCAAGGCAGTACTATGTACTTTAAGTGTAGGTAAACTTCTCAGATTTGGGATTTACATCCTTGCAGCTTCTCCCACACATGATAGCAAGAGTTGACAACTGCATCATTAGCTATTTCTTCCCCCTAAGAAACCAAATTGGCTGTTTTTTCATTTGGTTAAATTCTCCAGCCATGGTTCTGCTTAGTTCTCCCCTTTTGCATTATCTCCAAATTTTGTGCTGGAACTTCATTTTCTCTTTTCCATATTGCTTCAAGCCACCTTCTTTCTTGCTATTTTTCTGCATATTCCATCACTAATTACTCTTACTTTAGCCTGTCTTCTTGCTCTCACAGATTCCTAATGCCTTTTTTGTTCACTTCCTTTGAGAGGGTTATATATTCTTCTAATTCAGGAATAGAACCTAAATGTTCTGGTAGACCAGCTTTAATATCGAATGTAAACTGCTCTGGAAGAATTTATTTTGGTCCTTAAATAATGCTTCTTGTAGTACATTGATTAATCATCTATTGAGCAAGCAGATAAATAAGGATCTATCTAACACGAGTTTACAGCCAAGATCACTGGTAGAGCACCCAGGAGCCCATGCATAACTAACTTCAGCTAGTGATAAAAAAAATGGCATGTCTGTTCTTTAGCTGAAATTTGTTTGCTTTTTCTGATCCTCTAGACAAATCTGGGGAGTCTTGCCATCCTCTCATTTGCAACTTTTTCAGTTTATATCCTGCAGCACTGAGCTGAATATCAGGTAGATTGGGAAGAGAAGGCTACTAACAAAGTATCGGTCATCCCAAGGACTTCTCAGACAAGAGGTGTTTGTAGCCAGAACAGAACAACTTTACTGTGTCTAATTCACACAGGAAGCTTTTGAGAACAGGCTGAACACAGAGATAAGAGCTCTCAGCAGAAGTTCACTAAAGGAAATGTGTTCTTCAGTCTTTAAAATATGCAAGTGAACCTATTTCTCTTTACTTAAACGAGCTCTAGATCAAAACTGCAATACTCCACTGTTACTTGACATTTGTTTCCTTTCTAAACAAAAAGTGTGCTAATCCTTCTCCATCTGTTAAGACTACCCTTGGTAAGTTATTCTTCCTGTACATCCCAGACAACACAAAACTGCCCCCCAATAGTGTAAAATGAGAAACAAGGCAATGGCATAATAAATTTCTCCATAATAAACATGCACAAATAATCAAGAGGAGTGAGCAGATATAACAAGAATGAGTAGTTGTCTCTTCTGATGTTTGTTCCCACTTGGGCTTCAATGGAACTCTTCAGCCTCTCTGCTGCACAGGTTAGTCTCTGCCTCCCCTATCCCATAAGCTGATTGCACCATGTACCAGGTGAAGTCAGGAACTTCTTCGGACATCCCTTTACAAGGGATTACAAGGGTGTAAATCTGCCTCCAACCTTCCTAAGTTTTTCCTAAGCATCACTTTTTGAATCATTGTGTAACACATAGGTRCTCCGTGACCTTGCAGGCTGGGATTGTCATAGACATGTCMTGAAGTAGGAGACACACCAGCCTGRCCCACAAGATCTTTGGAGATGAAAGCTGTCTAAACGTTTTCTGAGGGAAAAGAGGCATCTAAATCCTGAGACRACAAGATGTTCCACACCAGGTAGAAGGTAGAATGTAATTGTGTTACAGGCAGAAGTCCTAGTGAAGTTACCACTGAAAAATACAGTCATGGAACCTGGGCTATGGCAAATTTTAATGCCTATTGTATAAATAAAAGTGCACAAAGGAAAATAAATCCAAGGAATGTGATTGGTCGTGGTTGTACCAGGTTGCTTGAGAACAAAACTTGAGCAGAGATAGAAGAGAGATGTCTGGAAGATATCTGCAGGCTTCAGCTGCTTTGATTCAGAAACTGAAAGAATCAAATTGTTAACGTACACTCTGTTAAGCAGGAAATGGTCTAGAAATATTTGCAGGAAATCACTGGGCACTAAAAATGCTACAGGTAAAAAATGGAGGCTAATCAAATGTGCTTGAGCTGTGGGTGGGGCAAACCCCACAGGTGTGAGCTATTTTCTTCTCAAGCTCTGGAAGCTGCAGCTGGWGTTGGTTTCTAAGGGCTCATGGAGATCATTGCCTACCCCTGTGAAATACAGATGGTCCAGGTTACCTCAATAAAGGCCATGGAGTGACCAATGATGTTACAGAACCTAATTGCTTTACAGGGTACACCTGCAGGCACTTAGAAGACTGGGAGCTCTCAAACTCACTTTAGCGGCTCAATATCTGAAGAGATTATTTTAAAGAAGCTTAAAGAAAGGTGTGGAGTGCTCATCATGTGCTGCTCTTTAAAAGTAAGTGATTTATAGACATAAATCCTAACTCTGAGATAATGGGGGAATGTCCTAAAATGCATCAGATAGGCACACTCAGACTATTTGTAGCTGAGACTTCCAGCCTGGGGTGTGTGTTAAATAGAAGGATTAAGAAAACCTCAGAAGAGAAAGATGCTCTTGTTAACAGATTCGTTATCAGAGGTATAAGCTTGAGCTTGTGTTAGCAGATAAAATTATTTCACAGAATAAATCAGGATTTTTGTTTTTTTCCAGAGTGAACTAGAAGAGGCAGGCAATTCAGGAGAGCTATAAGGATGTTGTGAGGTTRTGCAGGGACAAAACTAGAAGGGCCAAAGCCCAACCAAAACTTAATCTGGCTACTGCTATGRAAGACAGTATAAAAATGTTTTTATAAATAAATGAGCAACAAAAAAGGCTGAGAAGAATCTCCATCCTTTATGGGACTTTGGGGCAATCCTCGGTAAGAAGTGGTTGAGTCAATGTCCCTGGCAGGATTTAATAATATATTGAGGTGACACTTGGGCACCTGGTTTAGTGGTGAAYTTGGTAGTGCTGGGTGGACTCTTGGAGATCTCTTCCAATCTTAATGATTCTATTATTTAAAGAGATGAGCATTGGCAAATAATTCTGCTTTTTTCCTCTGTTCTGCTGATTTCCCAAATAATATTCCAAAATGCCTTTGGCAGCTCCTGAGGTGCAGCACTCCATGCTGTTTCCCTGTGATTTCCCCAAGGATGCCTTGATGTACAAAAGCTGAGTTCCTATTCTAAGTGAGTTTTTTTTTGCCTGTGGGCTGGGGAAATGGTGGTTGGAGTCTCTCCTTTAGCCTTGGGCTATGGGCATGGCAATCACTGATGTGCCTGTGCTTTTACAGCTTGCCCTTAAAGTTTGACAAAGGAACGCTGAACTCCTTTAACAGTTTTGTTCTTTTAGTTCTTATTATTTCACACTCATTGCCCCTCTGCTTCGTTAATCCAGCAGAAGCTGGATGATGTTTGGAAGCTTAGAAATATGAAGGTTTCATTTCCATAACAGTTTAAATTATTAAGCAACAYATGAATATCGAGGTTATTTAGTAAAGACTGAAGAAGAATGTTCCTTTTGTTGGTTCYAGAAATGTTTGTTCCCTACTTTCTTTTTGTAATAATTGTGATCCAAAGCTATTTAATTATTGACTTGGTGGTTCCAGTTGGTATAGAAATGTGATTTCCAAAGTCAGGAGCAGCAGCTGAGTGACACAATGCTGACAAAAGACAAATGTTAGTGTTCAGTTTCTGAGTCTGAGCTGATGTTTATTTTCCCGGTACTTTGGATTCTCTTGAATTTTTAGTATCTCAAGTTATGTAGCTCCYTGAAGCTAAACTAGTCATGTATTTTGTAGTGTAATACTTTATATAATCATTCACTAAGGAATCATTTTTTAGGAAAAAAAAAGTTGAAATATGGCAGAATTCAGTGGTGGATATGACTTACTGGYATGGTTCCTCGATATCCAGTAAAGGCACTGGACTGTTCTGCCACATCTGCATGTACTCCTAAAGAGCCAACCTGGATCCGTACTTTACCTGTATGTGAACTGAACTGGTTATAGCTTGTGCTGTTCTTAAACCACCCTTTTATTGCAAATGCATTGTAAAATCATTCTTTCTGTTCCTAAGTTTTTAATCTTCCCTTTTCTCTCCTCTGTGTTTAGTAATTTTTATATCTGCTAATGATTCATTCTGTGAGAGTTGTGTTGATGTGCAGTGGCACCCCACATAGCCAAGGCCAAACAAACGGCTGCAGGATCCTCAGGGGGTCCCTTCCTGCTCAGGCTGTGAATCCATGGGTTGTAACTGAGTGATTATAAGCACTATGAAGCCTTTACATGAACCAAGGTGTCTGTTCCCTCTCCTTTTGTGACACCTCTTTCTCTCCAGAAATGCTTGTATCTCAGTAATGCTGCGAAGATTTTCAGGGTAGAAGTTACTCTACAAACACGAGTGCTATTTAACCTCAAACCCAGTGAGGAGCTGGAAAGCTCTAAATCTAGCTCTAATGAATGAAGTCCGAAAGCTGACAGTACTCAGTATTTTCACAGGCTTGGGAGATTTTCTGACAAGAAAATTMATTTCTGAGATTTGTTGACAGAAACATCAAGAATGGAGCTGCTGCCTTTGCCTCCACCCACCCCAGCAAAGAGTGGGGAAAGAGAAGCAGCTCTTATAAATAGCTTGGTTCC